TCATTTTGGAGTGAATACGTTCATGAACCCTAGACAGTAGTTTTGACGTGGCCCATTTTCGGCCTTTCTTGTGCTACATTTTCGCGAGTCACACGCCTGCCAGGGTTTTCCACACCCCGAAGACGTTCTATCCTCATTCCGTACCACGGGCGGGTATGCACCGCGCACCTAGTAGTTTCCATTTTTCTTTTCCATTATTCCAATATGACCCCAATGGAACCCTAATATAGCCCCAATATAACCCCAATATAACCCTAATATAACCTTAATATAACCTTAATACAACCTTAATATAACCCTAATATAACCCCAATATAACCTTAATACAACCTTAATATAACCCTCATATAACCCCAATATAACCCTGATATAAACCCAATGTAACCCTAATATGAGCCCAACATACTAGCTCATCTCTGGCAGGCCCTGGTGTCTTGAAGGACGGTGTTCTGGACACAGTCGACATTGTGAAGGCGGGGCCCATGAGCCAAAGCAGCGAGCCATTATCCCTATATCACCCAAATAATATTATAGTAGTTTCCATTTTATTTTCCATTATCCCTATATTACCCCGACAATATCATAGTAGGCCCTATGTGAAGCTCTGGTTCCAATGTGGTGCTCTTGGGGTGGGTTCTCGACCCTGAAAGAGGAAGGTGCCACCGTGGCCTTCTCAGGCGCTCAGCGATGCATCGCGACACTACGAGGCTGGACGTGGTAGGCGAAAGGCATGCCGTTCTGGACTGTTTTCCCTAGAGAGCCATACTACTGCATCGCTACCGCCATAGTTTCACGAGGTGCAAAGGTCCTCAGCACACGCCTGAAGTCTAGTTGTTTATCGTTTCCTCCATATGGCAGCGAGGTATACCGTAGCATGACCATGCACTGAGGCGATTCCCTTTCAGCTGAGCCGCTCGCGCCCTGCAATCCTTCCCTGGAGCCCCTGTGACGCAACCTTTGGGTTTGCGATTGTTTAAGTCCAGCGTTAAATTTGTTCCTTGTGTGAGTTAGAAGAGAGAGCGCTTCTTTGTAATACTGGTATTCCCAGCTGTCAACAAGTCATGATTGGATATTGTTGTGGAGGAGAAGGAGAAGGAGTGAGCGGAGCAAAAGCGGTAGCACGAGTAGCATTCATATAGGATCGCCGCCGCCGCCGCCGCAGCAGCAGCAGCAGCGGATTCGTACTTGCAGTGTGGGTGGCAGGGTTGGAGATGTAGGGCTTGATGAAGGGAGAGACAAGGTCTTCGGAGCCGCTGTTGTAATTTCCATTTTTTGATGGAAGGCTCACGCGCCATCATATAACCCTAAATAGTCCCTCAAGCGTTTAGGGTTTAGGGCTAGTTCTGATTCAGCAGTTGCCCAGAAGCTTCGTGCTGATGACAACTCGAAATGGTTGATGCTGGGCAAGAGAATTTCGAAGAGTCACAAAACTTCCACTATCAGGAACCCGGCAGGGATGCCCGAGTCTTTTCATCCCCTCAAGAGCTCCAGCTAAATTCCTTCAAGAAGTGCGATTTGCCCAATTCAGACTGGCAATTGCGGGACAATCTGGAAGCCATGAAACTTTCACAATGGTAAGATGTTGCTTCTGGCCCGCCTGTTAGAGGCAAACCTGCAGCAAGCCGAATGCACAGGGGCTAGGTCGAAAAGCCAAAACCCTGAAAGCTCTTCAAAGGGTACCCCTAATTTTAGAAAACCCCTCAGATCTTGAAGGCAGATGTATGGGGACCAGAATGAGCAGAGTCCTACGAAGCTGCCCAGCCTTGCCACGCCCTCGAAGCCTCCCGTGGAGCCCACGCCGATACTCCTGTCGCCCAGAGACTTGGTTTGGATCTTCAGGAGCTGCGTAGAGGAGTTTCTTGCATGCTAGGGATGAGACAGGGTTTGTATCATGGGGAGTGGATAGGGCTTGCGGATGTCGGCCGTGGGGTTGCGGCAAATTTGGGTCCTAGTCTGAGGAGTATGCAAGGGACCCTAATCTTGAGAAGTGCGAATCACAGCGTTTCTCTGCATTCTCAACGCAAGACCACTTACATGTAAAATGCATGTCCATCGTAGTTGCGTAGAGTTTTGGCATGAGGGTTTACTTGCCAGGGTATACACAGGGGTTCTGGGCCGTTCAGTGAGCGCTTGTCATCCAAAGCCAGGTTGCTCCAGTTTGGAAGCACGTAAGCCCAAGGAGAGGATGGGGCGGCTGGCAAAAATCGGGTGCCAGGCCAACCGGATGTGGACGATTGGTACAACGATGCTTGCCCTGGTTTGCAAGCAAGTTTTCAAGGAGCTTGTGTTCTCACAGTCAATGTGGTGGCCTGTCAATTTGGAACACAAGGAACGATGAAACATGGCTTCGAGTTTACCCAATCTTGCCTCACTGCAATCTAACGATGCCTGAAACTAGGACTGTAGGACTTGTACAAGACGGATTTCCAAGAACTTATAGTTAATTGCTCGGCAGTAGCTATTTTTTGGTGTGGGGGGTAGCCCTAGCAAACCCCGCAGCCCAGGAGACCGAGGAGGTCATAGATTGAGCTCCTGAATTCACGAGGTCTAAATTCGCAGGTTGCTCGCGCTCTTGCACTGGGACTTTTGTACCGCTAGCCTGATTGTTCTGAGGGGAAAAGTGCGTGAATGTTGGAGAGAAGACATCAGAATCGATAGTCGCAACCAAAGAATCGCACGACTCCCGCTCAAGAACAAGCAGGTGGTCCCGCATGGTTCTGTCTCAAAAAGGGGGTTCGCTATCACGAGCACCTTCACAAGGCCATTTGAGAGAAACCCTGTTGTATATAATCATTTGCATGCTCCTCGACAGACCCTTCACCCTTTGATGTCCTCACCAAACGGACCTCCCGGACTGAGACATCCCACATGCCCGTCCTTGTTGGCATGCAAGGGACTCGTTCGCATGGTGCATGGGTCCAAGCCTGTGAAAGTGAGCAGTGTGCAAACTTTCGCTTCAGGGTTTGAATGGTGCATGGGGTTTAGAGGGCAATGGAGGCTCCCCTGCCCTTAAACTTGACCCCATGTTGGGCTGTTTCTCAGAAAGACCTTCCCAGGGGTCACTGAGTTGTTGGGTATAACCATTGTCTACAAGGGGAGGAACGAACCTTACGCATGAACTGTACTCTATTTGGAGGGTCAGGGGAATGTAGTAAGTAGATTGGAATTAGTACTGGTGATAACTGGGTGATTACACGGTCTATAGGTGTTAGAAGTATGCTCACTAAGTCCCCCTGGCCCCCCAAGTACGTCCTGTCAGGAATAGGCGTGTCTGTCAATTCGAACGTTGCGTACATTGGACGGAGCCAACTGAAATTGCAAATCAGCTGTAATCCTGGAGAATCAGATGGAAAAGACAACGGAAAGTGAAATAGGAACTAGGGCTTTTGGGGATTATGCACAAAGTATCTCCCCCGAATGTTGCAACCCCACCCTCAAAACATTGAATGTCTCTCTGTGCTGTATTAATTATTATGTACTGGGATTTTTGATGTTAGGGGGTTGGCAGGTTTGAATAGTAGAAGGAAGTGGAAACTTCGAAGCTCTTAAAGCATGCTTTTCACTCGGCCAGGATCCTTGTTTAAGATTGGTATTACTTGAGGGATATCAGGCCCACCTATACCCAGAGATCTGGGAGGATCTAGAAAGTAGTTCCCCCTGAAGGGTTCCTAAAAACTACCCAATAGTAGTACAGGGTACAATATTGGGAGTTCTACTTTCTAGATCCTCCCAGGGGTCTGGGTAGACACACACAAGAACCCCAAAGGCATCCCTACATTTTAGCCTTCGTCCTGAGCTGCAGACACTGACTGCTCTGGTCTCCAGCAGGCTTCTGCCCCTGCATTGGGCACGGCTTTGCCCCGAGACTTTGGAAGGGTGGAGCGATTTTCCGCAGCTCGTGGGTTGAAAGTGGGGCTCGGCGTCTGGTCTTCGTACTGTTCCGTAATATTATGGGTATTTCTCGCATTGCTCCCCATTATCCTACCAGGCGGCCCCTCATAAGCCTCGAACGTTTTGTGAACAACCTCCTGGTCATGTGGTCTCGGGTGCCGGGCAGCTATTTGCTTTTAAGTCCTGAGTCCACATGGTTTCCCCAAGCCATCAGATTTCAGGGATTACTGGCACTGATCAATCTCCATGTCAGCAGAGTCTGCGCCTCACCTTGAGCCTGCGAGCCATCCGAGAAGCTGAGCCAGCAAATCCGCATGTTTGCGTGGTGCTGTGTTAGGTGTGCAGCAGAAGCCAGAATACCTGCACTCAAAAGCGAGTTGCGTTGGAATGACTCGTAAGCTCTAATCACAACAGGAATTGCGGGTATAGTTTGGCCATTGCCTATTGATGTGCGTCTGTCTGTTTTCCATGACTAAGAAACCTCCCAAGTTCCAGATGCCCGGTGCTTGAAGGGTAGGTGGAAGTGTTATGGTCAGCAGGGTGAGTATGCTTACGCCCCAAACCCCAAGTTGGGGTACACTTACAGCTAAATAGATATCCAACTCCCAGACTTACTATGGGATGCTCTGGGTTACTAGGGAATGCTAGAATATGATCCCTATACAACCCCTACATCATATTTTCCCTTTTTCCCTACCGACCCCGAGGCAGCAGAAGTAAGATGACACATAAGCAGTGATTTTCGGGCCGAAGCTCGGCCCCACCTTGGTACGCAGCGCCAGTGCATCTTCCGCAAGCCACGATGCTGTGGAGCTCTTGGCTTGTGCTTGCGCGCCGGCTGGCGGCGTCACATCCACTTGTACATTGATCTAGGTGTTATTGCGCTGGTTGCTCGGTCCCTCGGTCATTACTGTAGGTTGCCAGGTGATGTTAAGGGTTGTTTTTTTTGTCGTGTGACTTTGGCTGAGCAAATAAGTGAGGTCGGAGGGCCTGTCTCGCTTACTACGCGCTCGCCCTGGGGTGAGTGTAGTATAGGCGGCACAGGCTCATGCCTGTAACTGGTCTTTCACTTCCCTTTCTGGGGTGCTTGTCTGCACCGCAGATGCCTACTGCCATCCTATATGCTCCCCAAGACAGCTAGCAGCAACCATATGATCCTCAAAAACAATGAGTAGCAGTAATGATGAAAATGAAGGTAATGAGAGGAGCACTTTTATGGGAATAATATAGCAGTAAGGGCTTGAGTTGATCCGGCCCTTGAGAGGTACAGGTACAGGTCGCCTTTCCAGGGGGCTTCGAGGCCTGGACGGACTGGCGATGAGACAGTCGTGAAAGAGTAGGGTCATGTAGGTGTTATGTAGGGATTATATGGGGGCAAAATAGGGATTATCTAGGGATTATATAGGGATGATCTACGTATGATATAGGGGTTATAGACGGTTACATAGGGGTTATATAGGGGTAATGGAAAAGAACGTGGAAACGACTATTTTGACAACTTGCAAAGTTTGCTTTGTATTGCTGCGCCAGTCTGTCCATAAACGGACCCCGGGCCAAAACAGAGCCTGGATGGGAAGCACAGAAGGGAGTCTGTCTTCGATTGCTCCCAGATCTCCTTAACTCCTGAGGAGATCGGCTCGTTCCGTGACCTGCTCCCCAGATCTAGCACCGCCTAGCTTCTGACTCCAGCGTTGCGAAGCAAATCCGGGGAAGCGGTGGTTATTTGGCAGCTTGTCAAGAAGGGTCCTTTGATTGAAGTTTGGGTTGCAAAGACGTCCCTGCACTTGGCTGTTTACCATTGTTTATCTTTTGATTTTTGCAATGTTAAAGGTTTCTTCTGTAACCTTGCCTTGGTAAGGATAATGCGCATTTTTGAGATCCCAAGAAGAAGCCAACACAATGGCACACAAAAAGAAGGACCCTTTTTCCGGCAAAGTCGCCCTCTTGGGGCGCGACCGCACGGTGCCCCTGCTCTCAGCAAACAGCGCTGAGAGACCCTGCGGAAAATGTTCGCGGTTGAGGGTTTAATGGTTAAAGGGTTTAGGGTGTAGGGCTTTGCGGTTTTAGGGTCAAGAGTTTAGGGGTTTAGGATCTAGATAGAGATGGATAAAGGATTTAAGGAGTCTTCTAAGAACATCGCTGCTGCATGGGGCTATCTAAGTATATCTCAGTGGCATCCTCCAGACATGGGGCTATGGAAATCATGCTCTCTGTGCTTGGAGTCGCTGCGGGAGGATAGCTTTTGGATCCATGGGATGCAGAGACTAAGTTCTAGAGAGCTTGCAGGGTCTAAGGAGGTGAGAGTGAATTTATTTTTGCTTCTTTCTTTTTAGCACTTCGGCTCCCCATGAAAGCGCCCACAACTTTGTGCCAAAGCTGGCCAAGGCTGGCACGCACCAACGGATTCTGATGAAGATCCGGAAGAGGCGGGCTTCTGCGGAGTGAGTAGATCTGGATTCCAAAGCGGATTGTGGTCTGGTTTCGCAAGGCCTGGACAAGGTTTAAGGATTCCACGTTTTTGGGGGGCGTCGGTTTTGGCACAAACGCATAGAATTAGGTGAGGCCACCAAAATCATTTGATCGGACCCGAGAATGGCTGCAGTGCACATTCCCAAAACATGTTTAGTGGGGTCATGCGCTTGCTCTATTAGAGGTGCCTATGCAGTTCTTCGCATGCTGGATCCTAAATCCTGAGCTCAAAAGCGCCCTGAGACGACAGGATCACTGCATGTGTGCCCTGCTCTTTGCTTCGGCTATGCTAGGGTCTGACATGTATTGGTTCTCTTTGTTCTCTTGTCCAGTGTATTCCGGCCCGGTAGATCTCAGGCCAGCCACCCCATACCACCCAGCCAAAGTACCAGTAGCCGCCAAGCCATGCTCAGGTGAGGAAAAGACATGAGCCAGATGAGGATGGCAAGTTCTGGGACCGATGCCCAGCATGATGTGGGACACAGTCACTATGAGTAGCAGGGAGTGAAGTAATGGAAAAGAAAAAAAAACTGCGATGCTGTAGAATCAAATAGAGAGTCGAATGGAACATTGATTGGAAAGTTAAATGGGCAATGAAATCGGAACTGCTCTCTTAAGCCTATTGTTTCAGTGCAGCAGCCATGTGCAGCTAGTCACAGCGAAGGGGCTTAGATACGAAACGTGCTCAAAGGCTCTTGTACTGGCGCAGGCGGTCAAAGCAGTTTTGCAAGCCTGTTCCCAATCATTCACACCTGTCCCTGACACGACGTCCGCTTGATAGTTCGTCTGGCTCAATTTGCCTCACAAAGTGAACTCACAGCTGCCCGAAGATGCAGGCATGGCCAAATGAATCATGCGATTTTGGGGCTTCTGGTTGGATGCAGGGTGGCTATTAGGGGGGAATTGGAGTAAATTGTTTCCTGACTGGTCATCCCACTTCCGGCCCCGCTTCCAGCTACCCATGGATCTCCGGGGAGTTTCTCCCCGTCTGTGTTTGTTCAGTGACGATGGGAATGCGGGTCTGCATAAATGTCTCAGTAAGTGGGGGCCTTTAACCTCCACGTAGGGCTAAGAACAGCACCAATGCTGGTGAGCAGAGTGGAGCAGAAGTAATTCAACAGTTGTTTAGCCTCCGGGAGCTTGACGCAAGATATAAGCCTTGTTTTGAGGCTGTGCAGCAGGGCTGCTAGGTGTCAGCACCTGTTGAGGATTGACTCATAGGCACGTCGGAAGACCTGCAGACTCAAGACCTGTCAGGCACCTGTGGAACACCGATGGAGCCCATACGCCGACAATGGCGGAACTTGTCTTGGTGTTGCAGGCTGGGATTCCTGTTGCAAGACTCATGCCTGACTCCTTGCAGCATCTTCTGCTACTACCTTGGGCCGTTCCTGCAGGCGAGGATTTCGTGGTGGTGGCGGCAGACACCCGCCTTAGCCAAGGATACAGCATTCACACGCGCGACTGCAGCAAAGTGACGCAGCTGACGGACAAGTGCGTCATCGTGTCATGTGGCATGAAGGCAGATGCCATTACTCTCCACAAGCACCTGAAGGCACGGCTGGTGCATGCCTCAGTCACATCCGCTACGTGTAGGTCCCTGTAGTGATTTCTGCTGCTGAGTGTTCCACATCCTTTTAACTTTCTGACTCCCAGGTGATGTATGAGCACCAGCATCGCAAACAGGCATCCGTCACAGCAATTGCACAGATGCTCGCAACGACTCTGTACTACAAGCGCTTCTTCCCGTACTACACGTTCAACGTGCTCTGCGGCATCGATGATGAGGGCAAGGGCGCAGTGTACCACTATGATGCCATCGGTAGCTTTGAGCGCGTCCCCTACACCACCAGCGGTAGTGGCAGTTCCTTGGTGATGAGTGTGCTCGACGCGCAGATTGCAAAGGGGAATCAGACCGTTGACACCCCTCCCCTGGACAAGAGAGGCATTGTCGAACTTGCAAAAGACGTCCTCTCTTCAGTCGGGGAGCGTGACATTCACACGGGTGACTACGCTGAGATCTTTCTCATTGACGCATCTGGTGTTACCCCTACACGTTTCGACCTGAAGCTGGACTGAGAGGGATCGTTGCATTGTTTGCTCGGCTGTCAGCAGATTTTGTCCCCGAATCACACTACTTCCATGTACTTATTCCGCGTAGCCTGCTACTTCACTTGACGCTTAACAGTATTCACTGTTGCCTGCATAATTTGATCCACAGCAGTCGGGGACGGTAGGCTTGGGACTTCAAGTCACGCTGAGGACTCCACGTTGCCTTGGAGAGCATAGGTTGCAGAAAGCTTGTTCAAACTTGCAGAACAGATGCTCGTGGAGTCCTTGCCATTGCTATAGAGCCAGTTGACCCGGGACCTCCCAGCACAGGGTTGCCATTCAGCCATGGAGGCGACACAAAATGGCGAACGTGACTTCCTCATATTCCATGAGAGCTCCTCTAACGGATGGCTTTGAGGCCCCAGAATGTTCCGATCTAAGCTGTAACCAGGCCTGCAGGGGGACCACAAATTTCGAGAACGCTCCATGCCTCACATGGCTTGCGCTTGGTAGATTTGGAATGTGGCTCAATACTACATTGGAAAGACAGCTCTTAATCAACCCTAGGTTCAGAGAGCGAACTGATGCTCGCAAGCAGCAAGTCATTCCCAGCTCGAAAGACTTGACCAACCTTTGAGACGCACCATCCTCGCACGCCCACCAAGGAGTTAGATTTAGTTAGTAGTTAGTCTGCTTCTGACAGAGCATTTGGTCACCACTCCTACCCATTAGGTCCGGTTCTCCGACGCGCAATGGCCCAACACTGGAGCCCTTGCACTGCCAATGGGGAACCGCGTGTTCTGCAGTGATGCAGTTTGCCCAAAGTCAAGCTTGCATCCTGGCGTCGAGAGTGAGCTCTTCGATGACAGCTCCACGTGCGATCCTGCAGGGGCGGTATTCACTGAGACCCTGGAGGAGCTGAACGAGATCGACCGCTTTCTTCTTCTGTTCTCAAGCACTCGCAACTTGGCTGGTGTCAGGTGGTTATGTCTACTAGGGGCCAACCCAGACTCCTGTGACACCAACGGCACCACCTGCTTGCATGCAGCTTGCCGAAGTGGGGCAGTCTCAGTGGTCAAGGAGCTGCTCGACCAGAGAAAGCAGTCGATTGATGCCACGGATGCCTCTGGCTGGTCACCTTTACACGTTGCAGTTTTCATGGGCAGACGCCAAGTCTGCGTCTTGCTGTTGCAGCAAGGGGCGGATCCTTTGCTGCGCACGCATCGCGGCCAGACCCCCATAGAGCTGGGCAGCGATGTTTGGCTGCGAGAGGCCATGCAGAGCTACTCAGAGCACCAAAGCCAGCACTCAAAGAAGCCCTGGCGGCCACCACAGTCCTTGCAATCAGGGCTCCAGGACGTGCAAGTCTCGTCCCGCCTAAGATTTGAGCCTTTCTTCGTGCCGCGCACGCCAGTTTTCAAAGACGTGGCTTCCAGCGACTTGCAGAGACTGGGGAAAGAAATCTTCAACGCCAGGCCGGGACAAGGCCTTGCATTCGTTGTGGCAACTGGCTGCATACGCGACTTTCCTGTGGAGCTAAGTGCATTCTTGGCACAGCCGGGGGTTTGTACGGAGCAAGTTGGGCAGTTCTTGGGTGAGGACTTCTCCCTCTCTCAAACTCTTCGGCTGGAGTTCATCAACTCCCTACGGCTCCTGGGAACCGGCGTGGTGTCTTGCTTGGCCAAGGTGTTCAGGGCTTTCGTGATGCCAAGCGAGCTGCTGAAGATCGACCGCCTGGTGGACGGCGTTGCTCAGATCTGGTGGCGGCAGCACGAGCAACTAGCAAAGAAAGATGCAGTTGAGACCGTGCACTCGCGGGTCACAGAGGATGGTGCAGAAGTTCAGGGTCTCGAACTGATGCGGGCGGTTGGCTCCTACGACGTGCTTCACCAGCTGATGTTCGCAGCAGTGCTGCTGCATTGGAACCTCTATGCCCCCCTGCCACCTTCACAGCGCATCACCACGGATCAGTGGTTGCAGATAGGCTCCGGCATCTTACCCCAGCCCGAGGAAGAAGTGAAGGGAGGGTCGGACAAGCTGTCAGCTACGAAGCGGATTCAGAGCCAGATCTACAATGCAAGAAGCCCAGGTTCCAGTTGAGACACGCGAGCATGCACTTGAAGAGCATGTTTACCAAGCAAGCCAGCTGAGTGCCAATTACATCCAGGTCATCGCACACAACTTCTACCCGCAGCTGGAGATGTGGAAAGTCCGCGTGCCTCCAGCAGTGCCAGAGGCCATGCTGTAGCCCTCCACCTTTAGCATGTGGTATGGCAACACTTTAAACACATTGCGCGCTGCTGTAGATATTTGGGCTTGGTGATGGATTGCCCTCCTAAATTCCGTCGGAAATCAAGGAATTAGAAGCTTTTCATTTTGAAGAGGTGCTGGCCTTGAGAGGCTTTTTCAGGACCTTTGATGAGGCATGTTGCCAACAAACCCTTTGATAGCTTCAGACTACAGCTTACCGAAAGTTCCCTTGCCTCCTTGCAGATTGCCTGCGCTCTTCTGCAAGCTGCCTTCGTCAGCACAGCTGGAGCATTCCTCAAACTGTAAACAAGCACAAATCACAAGCGCAAAAAGGCACTCACACCCGCATTCGCACTCCCTTCCCCCCCATGCCATGCTTCCAGGCTACCCCGACCTCAGCAGCACAGCTGGAGGGCTTCGCCCGTCTTGTGGCTGGGGGCTTCCCCTCGCTAGCGCTGGCTGGTGCTCACAGGCTGAGGTTGTGCAAACTGATTTGGGATTCAGATGTCTCTTGTGCTGCCAACCCGACATTTTCTTATTCTGCACCAGATATTTTCTTCGCTCTGAGCCAATAAGACCAAAAGGCCAGTAGCTGCTTTGGGGTCCGTGCCTATTGCGTGTGGAGCTCTTGCTTTCTGAGTGAGGCACATGTCATACCTGCCCAGCCACCCAGAAGCCCTGAATCAAGGGTGTAACATCCATCCTCCAGGGTGGTGTCCTACCGCCATATTCGGAGCATCCACAGCGAGAGCACTTCCATGCCGCTCCCTGCGGTGCAGAGCCCAGTGGCAAGTCGTGTGCAGAGTCGCGATGAAGGCCTGGGCCCGCGTGGTGTGTATCTTGGGTGCAGATCCCACCCAGCATCAGCTCGATTAGAACCATATCATATCAAAAACGTAAAGTCCAATCCCAGGTTCGGCTCATAGGTCAGTGACAGTAGGATCCTTGACGAACCTTCGTGGTCAGTGATTTCCACCACCGTGCAGGCGCTGTGCTCACAACATCCAAGTCGGCACCCCCTGGGTTCCGTGGGCTGCGGAGCGCGTTTGCGGGCGACGAGGAGACTCCGCGAGGTCTCTTTTCTGGCTCAAACAGGGACAAAGGTTTGAGTAGGCCCGCGGAGGAGGTCATGCTTAGTTGTGTTTTCGTAGGTACTTAGCCGAGCCGAACTGTATCCTCAAGTAGTCAAGCAGAGGTAGAGTAGGCGAGAGAGGCTTTCAATCACCCTACAACCCTTCTATGAGCTGAAGTCTGAACCCTTGAAGGGGCTGTATAGAGGATTAGAACGGGTTCCCAGTAAAGTGTACTAGGAGTTTAGACTTTGGCTCATATCATATGTCCCTAGATTACCCAGGATTAGTGTCATCAAGCCACTGAGGCTATCAAGAGTCGCCTATCACCGTAGATCCTGGCTTCGGAAGTCTCGACAAGGCAAGGCCTGCAGTGAGGAAAGCCAAGGGAGTTTGGGTAGCATATTAGGGGTTTAGGGTTTAGGGGCTTAGGGTTTAGGGTTTAGGGTGATAATAACAATAAGACTAATGGGCAAGAATCAGAATCATGGTAACAGGAATAAGCGCTATTTTACGGGGGCTTCTCCTGGTTTCTCGCCATAGGGAGGCCCATTAGGACCCTAGGATTAGACGTGATTTCTAAGGGGAGTTCCTATTCGGGGAAATACCGGGAATATGCGGGGAAACGCCCAAACGAAAATTGGAGTTTGAAGGGTGATATGCAGACGTGATGAGCACTGCAGTGGGGCTTCTCAATATTTAGCGTCGATGCTTGTTGCCATGGTCCTTCTTCCGGAGCTGTGCAGTCTAAAAGCTTGTTCAACACATTATCCGACATGATTATCCTCTCCCAGTCCCAAACCAACATGGAAACCCCAAAGAGGCCAGGCAAAGCCTCTGTCCTTTCAAGAGCTGGGCCATGTGAGATTCCAGGTTAGTTGAAGGGAAACTACAGGCGCATGCCGCGTGTAACCCCCCCCCACTTCACCATGTTGGTGAGAGTGATCATACATGTTTTTCAGCCCAACGCCTCCAATCCAAAATCTCCACTCCAGCATTGGCGGGAGGGAAGAACACCCATTCCTTCAAAAACCCTATCCCTTCTAATCCCTTAATTACTACACCCTCCACCTTACCATCCTCAAAACACATGGTAGTTACCATAAAATATAGAACCCCTCCAAAAAGCTTATAATTCTCATGATATAAACCCACAAGGAGGGGACCCCAATTCTTAGAAACCCGTCCCACTTCAGGCCTTCCTGGCATTGCACGAGTCGTTCCTCTTTCTCTCTGCTTCCCCTCGGCCCTGGGCACCGTAACACGGCTTGCAGAATCACTTTGCATACCTCTACTGAGTACTGGGTTGCTGCTAAAGAACTTACTTGAAGTTTATGATATGAGTATATAGTGAGGTTTTATAGGGTTTCCTTATTCTAGTAGCTTAATTTAAGTTCCTTAACAGCGACCCAGAGTACTGAGTAGCATGTGTGATGCGGGTACTGTCTCCTGCCAATATACTCGTAGAGTGGGATGATGTGTTTTTTTTGAGTTGCATTTTCAGTACTAATTGGTCTAGGCCTTACGCCAAGGGACTTTGTACGATTTTGGGGGACGTGCGGCTATAGTGATGGTACGCAAGCCTTCATTTTTGAGAAAGATTCTTGGTGGCCTGAGCAAAGCGAGCTTTTGTGGGTATACTCTGGCACCGCCACTGAACATGCGTGCCCAGGACAGGACGAATTAGGTCTTTGGACCCTGAGCTTTCCTCTTACGACTTCCTGGGCTTAGTCCTAGTACTTAAGCTGATTTCTAGCCATGCCGAAAAGGGTTTGCAGATAATCACATCAATGACAATGGCGTTGAGGGCCGCAGGCTCAGGAATCGTGATGGTGATCTCAAGTTTACTCCCAACTTACCTACACATCATTCCTTTTGAACGTTAGACCAGGTAGGGCTGACGCCACAAACATCACAACTAATTCCTGCACATGCTAGCCCTGCTGAATGTTGCCGGCTGTTTGTGGTCGTCAAGCATGCAAGATTTTCAGGGTGAAGCAAGGAAAGTTTTGCAGACCCACCCAGAATTACTAGAACAAATTCACTGTGCTGTAAGCTCAAGTCTTTTCAATCTGGAGGTGCTCTTGTAAGTAGTGTTTCGCTTGGAAAAGCTTCTGCTGTGGGGCAGCGATGGAAAGGCTTATGTTGCACTACTTGTTCAGATCAGGTACGCAGTCCTGCACGTCAAAGGCCTAGTCGTGCCAGCCTCAGGATTTCGTGCAAGGATGTGGCCAGGGGATATCTGAACATAGACTCGCTGGCATTGCCTGCCGAAAGCAAACAAGCCCATGGAAGGCGATTACCAGGTCTGCAGTGACAGCGAAGACGTGTAAGGATTGGTACGTGCATCTTGCCGTAGCCTGCGGGTTCTGTTTTGCTTTCTTTCCTTTGGCTCCCGTGCTGCCACAATGAATGTGTGCTTTAGTAGTCCTTCAAATACAATCTTATGATTGTTGCCATCATCATCTTGTTGTCGCTGTTTTCCTTGTCCCTCCTTTCAATTAGCGGCCTTCCTTGGGCCTTTCAAAGTGGTCATGGCATTTCCAAATTCTGCAGGGGAGCGACTAAGGTGGCCGTTGACACCATGTCTCTTTTGCTCACACTCCTGCCGGCGCCAGCATCACCAAGCTCACAAGCGCAGGCTCGATGATCTGGCAGTTTGTCATTTACCGCTTTCTTCTTTTTGAATATGTATGTAGCTTGTTCGCCATTGCATACCCTTATGAAAGCACCTCGCTTCACTGATTCTTAGGACTGTTTCTGGGATTCTTCATGGCACCTGTGTTCATGCTCCAGATGCCGGCAGTTCAATCAAGCCCTTGCATCGCCTGTCCACTTTGCTGGTGGGGTACCCCACTCTCGCAGACCCCAACGTTTCAAACTCCAATGCCCCCAACACTTGACACATACAAACCATTTTTCAGAAAAAGCATCAGGGCCTAAAAATCCGAGAAAACCTCAGGCTGAAGCTTTGAAGGGGCCCATCGCCCTCATTGCGCCGGTGAGTCCAACGAGCCCTCCCAGGCCCAGCCGGCAATGCTCAGAAACTATAGGGGTTATGTAGGGTATGTAGGGAATGAAAAATACAATGGGAGTTGTTAGAATATTGAGAGAAAGCGTTGTGAGTATGGGGTTCAGGGTTTGGGTGTGGGAGGTTGCCCCAATTATGGGGAATGAAATGGAAGAAACAGCTGGACCCTGGAGTATACCTCATGCTTTGAGCCATGTACCCTGCAACATGCCGCACGCGATGCGCTGAATCCTTTGAAAGCCTGAACCCTGAATCCTCATCCGTGAGCAGCTATCCCCATCCGTTTGAGGCTGCCGGTCACCTTCCTCCTGCCTGACGGGCGCTGGCAAGTACTTGAGTTGCCACGTTTCCAGGTGCGCGACCCTGATGGGGTCTCCGTAGTAGGAATTTTAATATTCTGGGGTCTATATTGGGGTCCCCTTATTTAGGGCATTCGGGGAAAGTACCATACAGGGTGCACGAAAGGCTGCGGGGATTTCTGATTTCAGAGTCGGGTATGTCTCGAATTAAGCGGCCCTAGCGTGGAGCAGTCCCCATAACTAAAGCCGAAGCTTCAATTGAATCCTAGGCTCTGACGCTGAGCCCCACTTGGAGGTTCAGAGTATAACTATAACCCAAGTATACCTGTACTTCTAACCCGACTGTACGCCTCCCAACTCCCCTAATATATGAATGGCTTATAAGCATCAGTCAGGCCTTTATAGTTGCCGTAGGCCCTATACACACGTTTACAGTAAAGCCCTGTATAGCAAGACAAGCCCTTATAGGTCCTCAACCCTAACCTTACGTAAACCCTCAACCCTAAGCCCTAAAGCCCAAGCCCTAAGCCCTTCAGTAGAGCTGTTTCTGTCACGGGATGCTTTAGTCGGACCCGGATTTCCACCTTGCGATGCTGTATGGCCATGCAAGCGGCAAAACCCTTTGGTATATAACCCCTAGATATTCCTTGGTTTCCATTTCATTTCCATTTTCTTTTCCATTTGATTCTCCAGAGTCTGGATATGATCCCCATCACAGCAAGCCCTAAAGCCGAAGCCTTAAACTTTCCCTATAGAACCCCAGAATATAGTAGTTTCCATTTTCTTTCCCATTATCCCTATATAGCCCTATAATACAGTAGTTTCCATTTTCTTTTCCGTTATCCCTATATGGCGCTATAATACAGTAGTTTCCATTTTCTTTTCCGTTATCCCTATATACGTAACCCCTATATGATTTTGGGGGCAGGTGCAACTGCAGGACTCCCAGCAGCTGGAGAAGTGGCGAGAAGCCCTCTCGAAGCACTGCTGCCTTGGCGCAATGTTGATAAGCAACCCCTACATGAGCTGTAGTCTGAACTCCTTAAAGGGGGTCATATAGAGGATCATACAGGGGACTATCCTAGGGCTTATTAAGGGGAGTTTAGACTGTAGCCTGCATGTCTGTAGGGTCTCTTGTGTGAAAAGGTTCAAGGTAATCATAACCCAATGATGAGAGACTCATACTGGGTGTATATAGGGTTGTTTAGGGCTTCTGGAAATTACAAGCCAGCTAAAACCGGTAAACCACCATTACAACCATATTGGGGGACTTAGGGGGCTTATGGCCCCAGAATTGGGGATAGGTACAGGTGGCATGGGGTTATAATTGCCCTGAACCGGCAAGTAGGGTCTCCTTCACTAGGTTCCGCAATGTGGGGACCCCTCGGAAAATGAAAAGAGGCTACACTTCTGGGAGGGCGGGTTCCAGCTCTTTTGGTAGGGTTGGATTTGCTCTCGAGGTGTCCGACTGGACGGAAGCTTAAGACTGCCGATCTTTGGTGTTTATGACGTTCATATAGCTACTTGCTCATAACAACTGAGGTATAAACAAAAAGTCCAGGGTGCAGACGTAGGTTCGAGATTTGAGGGTTACAAGGTCCTTCAAGGTCTCCTGCATGGGCACAGGTTCAGAGTGCATCGCGCCAGACATGCGGGTGATCCAAAGACCTGAATCGCCGGTGGGCGTCAAAGAGTGAGCTGTTTGCTATATCGTTCGTATTACTTTCACATGCTTTCTCGTCATTGTGACTGACATCTTGTTCGCATCTATTGTACGATAATTCCTGGACGTGACCATGGCTGCGCCTCGATACCTTCGGTCTTGTGTCCAAAGGGACAGTACATGGACCTGTGCAGAAGTCGCAGAATTAATTTTTGTGTGATTGCACCCATAGCTGCACGAACACGAACTGCTACTGAAGCCAAACATGCTGGCCGGTGCATCATTCCGAGTCAAATTTGTTTCACGGTCTGCTGCGGCAGTGTCATAGCGACCACACGAACGAGTATGCGGATGGGCGCGTCATGGCGCGTCAAAATCTTGGCCGCAGTGAGATTTGCACACTTTGTGACGGCTGGTAGGTCCTCAAAGCTAAGCGCACGATTCGCATTTTGAACCTGAATGGTTCTGTGCTGAGGATGACCCGCTGTGGTTTGGAAAAACGTCTTCCCGGCCTGATGATGCGCCTGGAGCTTTTCATGTGGCTCAGTGCCGGTTCGTGATGTCGGGAATGTATTGCCCCTGGGGTTGCAGTTGATTGCCGGCTTATAGGTCAACCTTCTCTCACCGGTGGTCGGTATTAAGCGCAGCCTACTTGGGATGCATTGCAACAGAATACAGTGAAAGATAGTGATCAGGATCCATGCTGATACCGTGCTGCCAAGAAATGCAAGCTCAGCTGAGTCATGCCCAGGCGGCTTGAAAGGGGAGTTCAGGTAGGTCCCATGGCAGCGCTCAGCAAATCTTTGGACTAAAGCCCGCATGTCTTCTCGCCAGGAAAAAAGAGATTGAGTACGCCACGGAGCTGGAGAAGGCAAACGGCAATGCTGCTAGTCGCGAAGGCGCCTGCCCCTCAGGCCTGTACCACACTGAGACTGAAACAGAGCTGCAAAAGGCAGGAGTAGCAGCAGTAGCATTAGCAGCAGTTGTGTTGATGGTGGCAATGGAGGAAGCACGTACAGAGAATGCTCGCGTGCAGTGCTGACTGCTTCAACTTGGCGAGCGCCGTTCAGGAAAAACGCATTGCTGCTCAGGACTGGAAAAAGGCAAACAGGCCTTGCCGGCCATTTCCTGCATACTGACCACCATTTGCTGGGGTTCCAGCTTACTGCTTCACTATGAGACAGGTGGTGGGTCGGTGTAGAGCTCTGCCCAAAACCGGGGTCCTCTAGTCTGAGCCACTTGTGGGAGGAATCATGAAGAATCCTCAACATTGGGCATACCTTTTGTATTTTTTCTTTTAAACGCTCACATCATTGACAAGCCTCAAGTTCAGGCACAATCCCAGACCAGGGTTCGATGCATGGCGAGAACCATCGCAGTTGCTTCAGAGTTGCTGGCAGCTGCTGCTGCTAGCATTGTTGGTGATGCTACTCCTGCTACCGCTATGTAGATTTCCGCATGGCAGGTATTGGAAGAATGCCTTGAAGGGCGCAGAGAAGCTTCAGGCAGCCTCGTTTCCGGAATTTCTGAGTTCCCGGTTCTGGAGTCCTTAGGAGCCTTAGGAGGCGGGCTACATTATTCAGATATACAACACGAACATGTAAAGACACAAGTGTATATGAGCGAAAGCCTAGACTCATTCGAGGGGGCGACATAGGAAATCATATAGGGGAGTATTATCGGGGTTACTAAGGGGGATACTAGGAGTGTAGACTAATTATAGCTCATATCCCCAACCCCTAAAGCATGAGTTCTTAGCAGGGTCAAAAACCCTTATAACCCCCCTGAAGTAGATAGAATATGGGGTATATGGGGATCTGATTATAATATACCCTAAGCCGTATTCTATCTACTTGAGGATTATTATAGATCTCAAATTAATCTCTGTGTTTTGCCCGAGGCTCTCAGGATTGTTTGCCAACCCAGCAGCTCTGGTTTCCAGGGGCTGCAATGGCTAGCTGGGCGGCATATTAACTACCATATGGGTTATATTGGGGTATCATGGAGAACCAAATGGAAAAGAGAATGGAAAATGAAATGGATACTGGGGTTAGGAGGTAGTATATTGGGGTTATGTAGGGGTAATGGAACAGAAAAATGGAAACTACTCTTTGTAGGTTAGGATTTAGGGAGATTATTCCAATGTAGGGCTTCATAACGAGTATGTTTGTGGTCGCTAGGGAATCGGATCAACACCCGCGGTTTCTTCTGCGTGGAGCCCTGTACTAAAACAACGCATAATGTTATAGTATTTTGGGGTTAGATTTGGATAATGGAACAGAAAATGGAAGCTGCTATAGTAGCTTCTATTTTCCATTATTCCCAATATAACCTCAATTTACTACAGCGCTACACATAGCTTGTTAGCGCAGAGGAGCTACTGCAATTTATCACTTACAAGACTCTACTGAAGCACCTTTTCAGTTGACTTGTGTCTCCTAAGTATGTGCAGGCTTTTGCGCATTGACACCGCATCGACACTTGTACGTTGGTTGTCCGTTTGGACTGAGACAAACTAGGAAAATTAACTTCGTTTAGCTGCCATGCTAACTTCTTTTGACTTGACATTGTCTGCCCTTCCTGTTCAATCTAGCGCCGATTTGGGGAAGGACGCCGATGTTGAGTTCCGGCTGCATTCCAACATGGCGCCCCAGCCTGAGTCCATGTTCCTGGAAAGACGAATTAGACTTTAGGGGCTAGGCCCCATGTAGCTCGAAACGTTTAAAGCAGGACAGCATTAGCTACTACTGTAGTTCAGTACTTTGCTCAGAGTTCGGGGAATTCGGGGCTTGGGGTGGTGAGGATGGCTTGCTTAATAGTCATAGTAGAATGATAGTAATAGTAGTAATTACAATAATAATGAGAGCCCTTGCTATTAAGGCTGGCGTACACAAAGCAGAAGAAAATCGAGAAAGCGCTGGACCACTGTGAGAAGGCTTCTGATCCTGTCATTAGACTTTAGTGCTTGGCTTTAAGGTTTAGGTTTAGGGTTCCGGTTTGGTGTTAACTATTTTCGTGTAAGTGGACCTGGATTGTAGACCTAGAGCTTAGGCAAACACAGCATTCGCCACCAACAAACTACAGCATCTTCTTGATGAAGTTGAGTGTTCAGAGTCAGCCCCGATGAATGTCATGCAGGGACAGTCCCACGATTCGAAGCTTCCACAAAGTTAGGGTTTCCTTCAATAGCACAATATATACTAAACTCCTTACTGGTACCCCCCACCCCAACTTGGAAGCTCCGATGTTGCAGGCCCTGCGGGAGCGGCTAAAAATCGCAGTAACGTCGGAGCTCCGGGGCAAGGCACAGAAGCCTGGCAAGTAGGACTTGACTTATCTAGCGATATAGGTAGTTCCCAAAATTAGGGCCCATAATTGAGATACAGTGCCATCTTATGAGGGGATACAGGGGTACATAGTCAGGGATATGCGGAGACATAGAGGGTTTTCAGGATAGAGCGATGGAACCACATGGAACACGAAATGGCAGTTGGGATTGTGGTGTCGTGGCTATGTAGTATTTATGTGGGGATACTGCATGCGGGCTTGACCAGTCTGATGTCCCCGGCCAAGCTTGCAGTGTGGTCTAGAGATTAGGGAAGCAAAGCAAATCTGTATGGTTGTGGTCGTGGTGCCCTTCTTCGGTTGCGGACGTAGTTTGGTAAGTTGATGGCCTGCATGGCTGTCCTTTGTCTGACCGAACTTGACGATGCGCGGACTTTTCGAAGGCGCGCATCTTGACCAAATTTAGGTTGCGGACGTAATATCCAGATGTTTGTGCGCCCCCTTGACTTGAGTTGCTATCAGCAAGCTTCCGAGCTGACTTCATCGTTCCTTTTGATCGTCAGGTGCACTACCGGAAGGCAGAAGCCTATGAGGTTAGCGGGGAGGCCGAAGGATGGTCTTCTTGTTCGAAGTATGACCATGGGATGCTTCTCCCCCAACAGTGAATGTTCTCCTCATGCATGATAGTACTTTATGGGAAACAGTCTCTACCTAAAATCCCTAAACCCTTAACGCAATATCCCCTTTCAAGGGGCCCCTTATGGGGAATGTTTACTGTTGGGGGTGGTTGCTTATCAGTTTTCTTAGGGTGCTCAGGCTGGAAGGGAGCACCGTAGGCTGGTCAGGCCAAGTATGTTGACCTTCGCCGAAAGACTGGTATGATATGGGGATTGGGGAGGGTATTGGGCATACTCCTGAACCAAAGGAAAAACATGGAACATTCTATGGAGACATCAGAGAAGGATGAGCAGTTCTAATCCTGATATGCCATTGTCCCGAACTCGCCGCATTGGCCCTTCAATTGCGCCCTTTCAAGTGACAGTGACTGAGTACCTGCCAAGATCCCAAGAACAGCGGGAGCATGTCCAAAGATTTTCAGACGCACGCCGCGGCCAATGGTAGCCGTCTTTGGCTAAGAAGTCAGAAGGATACCCCTGCTTGTTGCAAGGAAGGTGGGTGATGCTTAGATTGTATGCTTGTCAGCTGAGGGACTGGATGTTAGCTGTTCTGAGATGTACGTAACGTACGTCGATTTATTTACTCAGGCTTACCTGGTCACAAGATCAGCTACCGTACAGCTATGACCACTGCCCAGACCCATACCCCTGGGAGGATCTAGAAAGTGGATCCCCCTCAAGGGTTCCTAGAAATTACCCGATAGTAGTTTAGGTACCATATTGGGGGTTCTACTTTAAACTTATTCCCTATGTAACCCAATATATACCCATATAACCCCTATATCATTACAGTAGTTTCCATTTTATTTTTCATTATCCCACTACCCTAAACCCTAAGCACTAGATCCAGGGGTCTGGGTGCTGAAAGCAGGTCTCTAAAGCCATTGCCAGCTGCAAGTTATCCCTGGAGGCTGCGCAGATTTGAAAGTTGTCTTTGTGGAGCCCCTTTGGGCTTATGGGGATTATATAGGGTTTTGTAGGGCTATGCTGGGTAGTTATATGGGGTCAGCTCTATATATATATATGTGTATTTATGCAGAGAGAGAGAGAGAGAGAGACAGAGGAGTTGTATGGGATTTTGTTCCATGTTGAGTTTGGGGAGGGTTACCTGGATCCTTCATTCTTGGCGTATTGCTGAAGCCCTGAAAAGCAACCAGACTTGACTTTTGAGACCCTTCCTCCACATCGTCTGGGCTGGGTAAGTGACCTTCACGCGGTGCAGCCCTGAACTGCATTTACTCCTTTGTCAGGGTTCTGTTGGCCTGTCTTCCCATGCTAGAAAGTCCTTCAATCATGGTTGTTCTTTTGGAGGAGCATCTTGAGTGGGTTAGGTCGGGGCGGAGTGGGACAGGGTGGGTGAGGGTGTCTGCCTAAGAGATGAACTTCTAGAAGTGTGCAGGTAAATCCAGACAATCCCGACGCTCGAAAGAAGCTGCCCTGCGCTTGGCTGTGTTGGCCTGGCACGTGAGTGTTGGACAACGAGATTTTTAGATGATACAGCTCCCCCGCACGGATGGCACCCTGTGGCCACGGCCACATGCATTTGAATTTGAAGCTATATTATATAACTTTTCAGCTAATGTGTTACTTTTTCTCACGTGTTATTCAAAAAAAGACCTTATGTGTGGTTGCTTGTTGTGGCAAAGTGGGCAACTGTCTGTTCTGCAGGTCGCAGCTGAAGGCGCAAGAGGCTGGAAAGTCCATTTGGCATCGTGGGATGTAACAACTCAATTCCATGGGGTCCCAGCAACGGCAAGCTGCCGGGTTCTGTAGTTTCTCACTGCCCGATGTTCTGACTGCGGCTTGGTAGTTGGTGGCCGCTGTAGCCCAGTACATGAGAGGCCGACCAACGGAAGCGTGAGCGATCACTCTTTGCGGGCTTGCGGGGTGTTTGTAGCGGCCTCAGTGCCTTGCTGGTTTGTAGAGGCATTTGAGGCATGTGACATTGTACGATGCTACAGGCCTTAGAGTCGTGAGAAGCTTCATGTGCGGATTTACAGGCTCATGTAGCAATACGCCAGTAGCATGCTTTGCCTGAGACTTCCCTTGAACCTTGCTGAATGCTTCTGGCAAATAAGTAATGATGCCATTAAAAATCCCGATTGTTTACAGGACAAACATGTCTGAGACAAGAGACCTCACCCAAGTTTTGAACGATGCAATGCGCATTCTCTACAAAGTGGGTATATAAATCCAGGCGCTTCTTGGGGATGACGTCAGCCTATGTCTTTGGGTTTCATACGCCAATAGATGCAGTGATTATAGATCCCTACATGATCCACACAAACCTGGCAAGACCCCATGCCCCAAGTGATTCCGAGGTGCTTCCCAAGCTGTCAGCCCAGAGGCACAGGCGCCAAAGGCCGCGCCAGCGCCTGCTGCACCTGACTCCTCCGACGAGGACAGTTCTACCTTACACGCCTCGAGTTTCGCATAATATACATCTTCGTAAATTAGGCTTACGCAGATATATGCACATGCCCAGACCTCGCTTGCAGAGCAGGAGGGAGAAACATGATTGAGTTTGAAATCAAAGCACCTGGGGATGTGGGTTCGCACAGGCACCTAGAGGCCTAATAGTTGGCCTAGAAACAAGCGCGAGAAGGCTGCAGTGCAGAAGGCTATCAGATGGTCCAAACGAATCAGATTGTTTCCTGTTCTGTGCCGGCACCGGTTTCCTAGATCAGCATAGGTGAAACACACGTGATTGTAACTAGGGTTGCTGAGACCTGAGTTCCTAATTCAAGAGGGGCAGGAAGCTCGGAGAGGAAACTCCCTCCTCCCGAAACCACCTTGACACAGTTTAGGGCTTAGGGTTAGTTGCCGGCAGCAGCTGGGACGATCAATGGGGAAGTCCACTGCAGTCGAGCAGACAGTAGCAGAACCGGACATGTGGGGATGCTTAGAGCAGGTGGTATGTCCTCCCACGTGCAGGAGTTTGCGGATAAGGGCGGCGACGACAGTGATTCCGAGGCACTGCATATCTTGACTGACCATCGAGGGACTTAGAATTTTTGCTGAATCCTGCCGCTGCTCTCTTCCGCGGGAAAATAGACAGGAGCTTACCTTGGAGCAGCAGAAAGTCCTGGAGCAAGGACTGTCTGGACCTTATCCGAAAATCCCGGACACAGCTCCATTTCATGGTGTCAGAGACGTGATCAAGTTCATAAAAGCAGTAGCTGCAGCATTTCTCAGAAAAGAGCAAACTTGAAGCCTGAGGACTGACCGTGACGCTTCCGCGAGACTGATGAGCAGTTCCCAGCTCAGAAGTGTACTGGCACAGCCACCCTGTGGCAGGGGTGGTTCTCATATTGGGGTCATATTGCAAAAATGGAAAAGAAAGGGGAAAGTACTATTGGGGGTCATTTGTAGGGATTTTATAGGTTAGAGCAACGCAACAGCTGCATCTGGCGGCCTCCATACATCAGCCTGTGTGATGCCCTCCAGCCGAATAAGCCCAGGCCACCAAAATTCCACAGAAATTCCACAGCCGCAGTGTCCGACCTAAAGATTTAGAAAGCCAAGTTCTAGAAGGGCCCCCGGGGTATTCCTGGGAATATTTTTAGATTAACATGGAATTATGGACCACAATTCCTACATATGGTAGTTTCCCAAAATAGGCCCGATATAGACCCCAAGATGTTATAATCCTCATTATGGGGACCCTTAAAAAGGTGCCCCTAATTGTTGGAAACCACCAAATATTCCCTGTAAAGCCATCTAAATCTATCCCAGACCCTCAGAACAACAGTACTAACAGCAATAATGGTAAAAACAGAAATCATAATTTTTCATATTAGTAACTTAAAAGTAATAACAGCAATAATAGAATTAATAGCAACCCCCCCCTCAAAGATCCACCGTTTTTAGGGTAAAAGCGAATTTCAAAAGAAATTTACAGGGAAACTAGCCAAGGTGGACCTTGAAATTGGATGTATTTCCTTATTTTCTTTTTAAAGCAAATAATTGAAACACGTGAAAAATTCACACATTTTAATTATCTTAAAACTTATCTTCATTCTTTTCTTTGAAAATAGTTCGAATATTGGAAATGATCTATTTAAATTATCCTAATTACTTTAATCATTCGAACTATTTTACTTCTTGGAATTTTCTAAATAGGG